AATTATAAAAATTTAATTTAATTTATTTATGTGATATTTACTTTAATCTATAAATATGTAAAAATATAAGCATTATAACAAAATGCGTTTTAGTAACATTCTAAAAAATTGCATCCAGTTTATATAAAGAAAATGTTGATGATGAAATATTACATTAATATCAGAAACGCAAACGTTAATTTTATATTTCGTATATGCTATCGCACATGGCTGTTCAGTTTTACGATGAATGATATATGACAGATATTTGCAAAACTTTACTTCAATCTCGCACTCGTTTATATTTTTCGATTAATAAATTTACTAGTTTGATTAACTTGATAAGTGTACTTTTTCAATATTTATGTTTCAATAAACTTTCTTAAACATTTTTAACACACATTGGTTTTTTATAAGAGATATTACAACATCTACAAGTAATTATTTTATAAGTAACATAATCACATGAGGAAATTCATTTTGATAGGTTCGTAGAGAATTAATAGAGTAGCACAATTAAATTTTTTTTTGCTTTTTTTTTTTTTATTGAAATAAATCGGAAGTAATGCGAGTCGCGGCGTTACGCTGTCACTTGCAAAAGTGTCAATCATCATCTTCGTCGTATAATTGAGATACCTGAAATATTCTCGGGACAGTATTGTTATTCCAAACGCGAAGTTTTGATCTCGACCTTGACGTTTACAAGTTGTCGTGTTTCGCAACGCTGCATAATTCCCGCTTAAACGAGTCCATATAAAATATGCATATATTCACAACCAGAAGTTTAAAATAAAGACAACACCGTTTCATGTATATATGTTGTAAATAAATAAAAATAGAAAAGTTCCATAGAGCCGCTATTGCGCGTTCGACGACTTTTTATACCTTATTGAAATAAATCGGAAGTAATGCGAGTCGCGGCGTTACGCTGTCACTTGCAAAAGTGTCAATCATCATCTTCGTCGTATAATTGAGATACCTGAAATATTCTCGGGACAGTATTGTTATTCCAAACGCGAAGTTTTGATCTCGACCTTGACGTTTACAAGTTGTCGTGTTTCGCAACGCTGCATAATTCCCGCTTAAACGAGTCCATATAAAATATGCATATATTCACAACCAGAAGTTTAAAATAAAGACAACACCGTTTCATGTATATATGTTGTAAATAAATAAAAATAGAAAAGTTCCATAGAGCCGCTATTGCGCGTTCGACGACTTTTTATACCACACTTATTCTCTTTCGCTCGAGCTCTCTTTCTGTTAAACAATATATGCAATCTTAATGAATATTCTGTTTTGTAAATACAAAAGCTACATCGTTTCGGTTTATCACCTGTAGATCCGTTCACCCGTATACAACAAGGATCCTTTAAGTATCTGTGAAAAGTAAAATCGCAGCTTTCATCATGGACGTTCTGTGTCTCACGTTCAGCAAGAATGTGTTTTCATGACATGTCAGATATATATTAATATATATATTTAACTATATGTGTGTACACGCATGTGTGCGAGAATCACCGTGTGCCATACTGAAGTGGCATCGAAACTTTATGATTGTCTAATAAATCCTTTTTGTGTGCGCGCGCGTGTGTGAGTAATTACACGTATACATTTATATATTTTAATGAAGCTCCGCGCCAGTATCTAGTCCTGACGGGAATAACCGAATATTTCTTTCCAGTCATACTTCTCGCTCGATATCCGACGCGTATGTTACAAGCAGTATTTTTCGAAAACGATATTATTCACTGATCGTGAACTTCAGATTTCGATACTGCAGACTACGCGAGAATTCGTCCGTTTTTATTCGCGATAATAGAAATGCAACAGCTGATTGTACGAATGTCTTTCGCGTAATTGCAGCATGAAAAACTAAGTTCGCCGAAATTATATCGATTTCGATCCTTAATTATGAGATAACATTTATAACAGTACTAAAAATAGAGAGAATTTTCTTCTTAGAAAGTTAATTTATGTAATTACTTATCCATCGAGAAAGTCACAACATCGAATGTCAGCACCTTACTTTACTTATATGTGAGTTGATAGGCATATCTTGATATTTCTTCAATACATTTTCTAACTTCTTGTATAAATTAGATAAATATATAATGTATTCTTTTTGTAGTAATTTTGTTTAAAAATATGCGTCTTAATATGTATATTACATTCATATGAAAATCATGTACTTACATAATAGTAAATGAATACAGCTCACATTTCGCGTTATAGCATGAAAGCAATAGTAGCAATGAAAAATGTAAAAATTGAAGTATTTTCTGGAATATACCTTGCACTTGATAGTTTATCTCCTAAAAAATTTTTGTTTATCAGTTATAATATAAACAAAATATTGAATAAATACAAACTGAAGAATGAGTTACAATAGCTTTTTCAAGCATATTTCTCTGATAAAATAATATTAGTAAAATAATTGTAATTACAAATAACCTAAAATGTAATCACAATACTTTTCATTGTTTCTCGAAAATAAAAAATAATATAAACTATCGCTAAAATCTAGCTATATACTGTTGTTACACCTATGTTCTTGCTAATCGCGCGCGAACTTTTAATCGTATATATATTATATATAAAAAAAAAAAAACGAACGAAAATATATGTTAAATGCAATTGAACACAGATGTCTTTTGTCGTATAAGATCTGCAACTGCACTTTGATCGAGAAATTAAAACGCACACGACAAAGTCAGAGAAAAAGAATTAATTTATATGGAATGATTCTTAAATGTATGTCAAAATTTCAGGGTATAAACTTTGAGCATTAAATAAGAAATATTCGAAGTAATTATCTAGTAGCGAGAGATATTGTGCGATTACGCACAATACCTCCCGATTTTAATTAAAGTTAATAGTACAACTTCCTTTTCCTATTATTGATGAAACAAAATATTAGATTTTCTGCAAATAGTTTTGGACACTGCGAGTATTTGTAAATTGTATTACTTAGAACAGAAAACCTGCGTAAAAATTCTATATGTAACATTATTTTCTTGTTTTATATTTTAAAATTTAACACCCAAAAAGTACTGAAAACTAAAGATCACATCCCGGTGCTGGCATTTAATGTTCAATTCAGGCGCATATATAAGAGCAATGACATTCAATACTAAGTCACAGAGCTCTGTCACTTATTGGCTATGAAATATTTAAGTATATTGTTTGGTTTTGGTTTGCTGGTTGTCGGCCAAGAACGCGTGACATCCCTCCTCTCGATGGGAAGAGTCCTGAAAACCGTAGTATCCACTGTGGACGACAATTGCATGGGCGATGACGGGCTTAGTCTAAGACCAGCCATTTCGTTACTTGGCGATTCCCGACGACCACTCAACCATACTTCTAGCTTGGTTTTCTTCGGTAATGGTTCCACCTCGTTCTGCAGATCGTCCTCTGTATTCTGACTAATTGCTACGCCTGACAATTTTGAAATTGGTGAGCACGAGAGACTTGACGCAGAAGTGTTCATCAAGCTTGTTGCTGACTGATCGAGACTATCATTGCTGTCTTGATTGATACTCATCGGCGATCCCAAATTCACTTCTGCGATGCCTTCTTCAGAACTGATATCTAAAACGGAATGGACGGCGACCTGCTTGCGCAAAAAGGATGTAATGCTGCTCCTGCCATATGATCTCTCTTCAAACTTAGTAAATGCAACTCCCAACAATGTTAAATGGAATGGCTTGGAAACGTCAACTATTCGATGAAATAGCTTCATGGCGAGCGTCAACATTTTACTATGGTCGTACATGCCGGTTTTTGTGGACGGTAAAAGATGTTTCGGCAGCGCGCATTGTCTGGTCTCTCTCTTACTGCAAGTAGATTTGTTCAAGGCATGCTTCCGCACTGTTATTCTCATAGCAATAGGAATTCTACCATCTTCCATCGCCAATTCTGTTAATCTCCTCAATAACGCGCCTAATCGTGACTCTACTTCGGCCACTAGCGACACGCTTTTAAATCCATCCTCCAGACCTATAGATTGTTTCTTTCCAGATGGTTTTACCACTGTCTCGTCAATCCCTTCTGCATTATCCTTCAATCTCCTTGCTAAATCAACGCCAATTTTCAATTCCAGATTTTCCAGAGGTATTTTCCGTAAATCGTCTACTGTTTTTATATTATTTGACAACAATAATTCCATAGTTTTTTGTCCAACACCAGGTATTTTGGATACAGAGCCTATTGTAGAGAGCAACATTGGACCACTGCATGGAAATACTAATGTCTGCTGATTTGGTTTATTTAGCGATCCTGCCAATTTGGCCAGAAGCTTATTATGTGCTATTCCAGCGCTACAAGTTAGGTGCAGTTCTTCATAAATACGATTCCTTATTCCAGCTGCTATCTTGGAGCCAATCATCAAGCGTGTATGACAATCGCATGGACATTCTTCGTCTGAAGGCCCAAATATCTTACTATCTGATTCCTTTAGCTCCTCGTCTGTGTGCAAACTGTTCATATCAAACTCTGAATCACTCTGAGACTTGAGCTGTTTCTCCATTGCTGATCTTATTTCAAGGAAATAATCGTCAAAGCCCAGTCTTTCCACTAATGGCGTAAACCGATGCAGAATTTCAAATACCTTAGTTGAATAATGACGATAATGTGTTAAATCTTCGCCATTTACTAAGACTAATCCTGGACATAGACGCAAAGCTTCTTGCAACGGCATACATTTTTTTATTCCATATTCTCTTGCCAGATAATTGCTGGTGACCACTATACTTTTTTGCTGAACACCTAATGGTTTTCCCTCATATTCCGGATGCCTAAGCATCTCTACCTGAGCGTAAAAACAGTCAACATCCAAATGGATGATGGTTCTCGGGTGATGCACAATAGTATTAAAATCTGCAGTATCCATGTGGATATTTATCAGAGATCAATATTCTTGCAAACAATAAAGTTTACAAATTTTCACATCCTAGTTCCTAGAATTCTCTTAATTGCATCTGCAACAGATATATATATATATATACATATATATATATACACACACATATATATATATATATATAACAATTAAAGAAAGATCTTAATCTTAATTAGGAAGCTCTGACGATGTTATTAAGGTTGGATTAAGAAGAGATTCTGCACAAATTTGTAGTATACCTCGGTTTTGTAGCAATTTTTTCCAGATAATAGAAGAGAACGGAATATTAATCGCTCGTGGGAAACAGAATCTGTGCTATTGCGAATTCGCGCGGCTTTCACTCTCGAGAATTATTTGACATTCTTAATGGGTCCCCTCGATTCAGGTCCAGACTACTAGGAATGTTTCTGCGAGTCGGCGATTCGTCTAGTTGACAACACGAAACACAAAAGTAGCGTAATAAACTAAATAGGAAATTGTTTACAGTGTGCAAACAGTACAAACCAACCAATCCATTTTTCATATGGTAGCCATGTTTTTAAATTGTCATATAGAAAATATAGATACGTATGATGTATACAAGAAAAATTCCGCAACCTAAGCAGGTCATCGACTTAAGAATATATAGATGTGCATTGGTTATACCAATATTGGCAATAGGGATCAAATTCTGAAGTAAAAGGAATATAGTAATATTATGTAACTATATGATATTCATAATTAGAAACATTATGTGCAATATGCTACAGAATATATTTTTTTAAAAGTTCCAAATGTATTGAATTGTAATAATATTGTAAGATGCATTGGCGCTTGAAACACGATCCGAGAGAGATAGCTGTAAGTTATCAGTAGCTTTGTCTCTCTTAATATAAGTCTCACAGTTATGTATATAAGCTATATACATCTCTGCGTACAAGCATAGACATAAGATAAAGTTTATTTGATATCTAACGAGCAAAAATATAATATTATTGACAACATTTATAGATGTTATATAATACATATTATGCATGTTGCTTTATCCATCAAGACAAGATAGAAAAATAAAAGAAAATAATAGAAAATAAGAAAAAATATTAGACAAGATTTTCTTCTTTCTCTAAGTCGTACTTACGCAGTTTTGTTAAATCTTTTTTTATAAACTATTTTTTCAATTTTTCTATTGCGCAATTTTTAAAAGAAATGTTTTTATTCATTCTGATATTTTTTGTACAATTTCACAAAAAAGAACATATATTATTTAATAAAAGAAGCTCAAAGTAAACTTTAAGGAAACTCTTTACTTTTTAAAAATATGTTATGTGTTGCAAATTATACATTCTTTATTCTTATCGTTAAGCCAATATCAAAAACCTTTAAGTTATCTTGATTGGTCATTGAGATATATTAACTTGTAATAGATTACGTGATTAGTCATCTATATACATATTAGAGTGATTCATAAGCATTTTTTAAGCAAACTTACATAGAAATATTTAAAAAATATATTAAATTTTTAAATATCAATATTTAAACTTTAATGTGATTTGTAAATTCAAATTTAAATTTTATATTTAAATATGTGTAAAAAAATATTAATTTATATATTAATGAAACATATTAATCATACATATAATAAAGTCGAAGGTATATTACCGTATTTATTTTAGATGCTGTTTCTAAGATTTAATAATCATCATTACCTTTTACGTAAAAATATTAACGTAAGATATTAACGCGCAAAAAGCGCACAAATTAATTTTATAAGATATTTTATTTTTGCATAGCAAAATAATATTAATAATTATACCTAAAATATATCAAATATCGTTAATAGGTTGATTATGCAAAATAAATCTGATATAAACCTATTCATCAAGCTTATCATACGTGAAGAGATATTTTATTTTCATCCGTAACCGCGCGATCATGTCATTGTAATTTCTCTTAATGATAACAATTAATTGACGCAACACATAGATACAATCAACAATCAATATATACCTACGCGATGAGCAGGATTTTGTCTTTTTTCCATTTTTTCTTTGCCTTATTCAGCGAGATGTGATTGAGCATTAAAATTTAAAACGGGTTATAAACGAGCGATTAAAAACTTAAATTGTCTAATAAAGTTTTGAGATATTACATTAGAAAATTCAAAAAGTATGGTTTATTAAAAATATATATTATTTATTATATTTTAATTTAATTTAATTAATTAATTTTGCTAAATTTTCAACCTTTTAAATATTTATCGGTATCTTCTATTATATATTTTATCGATGCAGATTATATGTCTTTGATAATATCGTAACACTGAATTGAGATATCGTCACTCAAAATTTCAAGGTTTCGGCTTTGATACCGCAAGATTATATAAAATTCTTTATGGACTTTGGCACATTTTACTTTATTGATAAAATATTTTATTGATAAAATAAGTTTCGTTAAAAAATAATATATTTTTAACTTTTTCTACTAGCAATATTTTCATATATAATTCAAGCCAAAGAGAAATACAATATTAAAAAAAAAAAAATCATTCTGATTTTTCTTTTTTTAATATTGTATTTCTATACAAATTTTATTTCTAAAACAAATTTCTATACAATAAATTTCTATACAAATAACAACAAATTTCTATACAAATTGTATTTCTATACAAAGATAAATTTACCATAAACAATTACAAAGAAAATTTTGGATTGAGATGTTATTAAAACTTTTATATCTTAAAAAAAAAAATCATTCTGATTTTTCTTTTCAAAATCCACTAAAAAAAAATCATTCTGATTTTTCTTTTTTTAAGATATAAAAGTTTTAATAACATCTCAATCCAAAATTTTCTTTGTAATTGTTTATGGTAAATTTATCTTTGTAATGATAAGATTTTTAATAATAACAAACAAAAGTAAATTTATTACGAATCTAACAAGTAAGTTTAATACAAATTTAACAAGAAATAAATAATCTGCTACAAATTGCTTTGAAATATTTTTAACAAATTTACCTAGTAAAGTTTTGATTTTAGTGGATTTTGAAATTGCTGTAATCTGTATAACTATAATTATAAACGAATTCAATTTATCGCTCCAGAACCTTATGTTGCTTCATCACAAATGTTGCATCATAAAAATTAATAAAGAACTGAGAATTAGAAACTACTCAAGTAGCAAAAATAGACATTTTGATGTCAATTTGACGTAATTTGACGTCAAAATGACTACTTTTGGTACCTGGGTACTTACGAGTGTTTCAGAGATTTTACGAAATTTCAGAAGTTTTTACTTTTTCAATACGCACATTATAACTATAATTATGATTTTTCCATAGATATGATGTAGCCAAATTATGAGTTAATATTCTAATCTTTCCGCTACAATCATTTTTCTCATTAGCCGTGAGTCAATGAACACTTATCGTTAGATAAATGAGATATTGCGAACTATTTCATGTTATGGATTTTTCGTATCTAAAAGAGATTAATGATAAAATATTTTATCGATTACTATTCAAATCAAAAGTCATAATCAAATTTCATTTGATGTATATAATTAATACATTTTTTATATATTTTAGTTACAATAAAAAATATATATACATATATAATAATGTTCTTTTTCAATTCTTGATTGAAATCAAAGTTAATGATAAGAACAGATGATAAAGTAAGATATGAATATAATTTTAATTTTTCTTTCATCATATTTCGTTAACTTATCAATTCATGATGTATTATAAAAAAATTGTTTATTGCCCAAATCTGTAAGCGATATATGAAATAATCTGGCTGATAATAATCTTCTAAACGAGAAATATATTTTCAATCAAGTACATAGGTATATATTTATAGGCATATAAGCATATTAGTTGGGTGTTACTATATACTAACTGACTGTCTTGCAAATTCATAGATTTCGGCAATAAACCATAATAAAATCATGATAAAGTTTGCGATTTAAATCAAATGTATACTGTATAAATCAATACAATAAAAAAATGAAGGAAATAAATTATTCTTTTCCTTTTTCTTTTAAATATATACTAATAATAAAGTAATTAATAATTTTACAGAATTGAAAAAGATGCAAAAAAGAAATATTTGGAAATTTTATATAAATGAGAAAATGTATAAATTGTAATTTTTGATAAAATATTTATATAACTTTATTTAAATTAATATAATTTATTTGTGTGTATAAAATGCGTGTTACATTTATTATTATTAATTAAAAAATAAATTTTGTATTATACCTTTACTAAATATATGTTTGTCTTTTTTTTCTGAGTCCATGAATTTATATGAAAATTCGACGAAATGTATTTAGAGCTTTATAAAAAATAAGTACAGTTCTGATAATCTTTTTTAACAGATATGATAATCTGTCCTTGTGATAACGCGATGCATATTTATAAAAGCGGATACGTCTTAATTCGGTCAGTTATATATCTAAACGAATCACAGTGAGGTGTTAATAGAATACAATATTTTTACATACGGTACAATATTTCCTTCTTTTCAAATACGAGCAAAGCAGGTGACAGGCGATGAAGGGTAAGAACATTTAACAAATTTCTATAATAAAGATTATGAAAAAGCAAATCAATTGAGATACTCATATTCCTTGAGATTTCTTTACGCGAATCCGAATCTTGTATATAAAGAATAGAAATTTTTTTCAATTGTAACAGCCTATTTGATCGCAATATTTTTTGTTTGGTACAGGAATATACCTAATCGCCATCGCCTTTTTGGCATCTCGGACCGCCGCATCTGTGATCGTCCCAAATGAGTTTACTTTTGAAGCAGAAGACGAATGTCCGCCGAAGGACTCTTGCCCGCCGAAATTAATAGCTGATAAAGAGAATTGCGGTCAATTCTATAAATGCAAAAGCGGTAAAAAAACCTTGGTAGTTTGTAAGGGCGACTTACAATTTAGTAAAAGCTGGCAAGGTTGCGTTAGTCGCGACAAATCGGACTGCGGCGATGGCGGCGGCGATGGCGGTGGCGATGAATGCAAACACAATGGCGATTTACTTCAGCACGAGTGCCAATGCGATAAATTCTACGAATGCAAAAATGGTCAAAAGGTCCTGCGCGAGTGTGAGTCAGGACAGATTTTTGAGAAGGATAGGAAGGTTTGCGTTCCAGGCGAAAATTTAAACGGAAAGTGCACCCCAAATTCAACAGTCGAGTGCACGAATGGTAATTATCTCCCTCACGAATGCCAATGCGATAAATTCTACGAATGCAAAAAAAATAAGAAGGCCTTGCGCGAATGTTCGAAAGGATCAATCTTTAAACCAGCATTGGCGAAATGCGTTAGAGGTACTAATTGTCCGCCTGAACGGACAATTACGTGTCGTCAAGGCGAAAATAAGAAACACCACTGTTTATGTGACAAATATTACACATGCAACAATGACGATTGGATCCTTAAGCCGTGTGGAGAAGGTCAACATTTTAGCCCTAACGATCTCAAATGTATGACGCCAAAAGAGGCTTGTTGCGATCCTAAATCTTGCGGCAACTCTTCTGGCAAGCCTGGTGCCTGTCCAGAGGGTGTTCCCACGCATTGGCGTCACGAGTGTGACTGCAGATTGTATTATGAGTGCATAGGCAATAAGAAGGAAATAAAGTCTTGTGATTGGGGAAGATATTTTGATTATGTTAACCAGGTATGCGAGAAAGCGGACAAAGTAAGTGCCAAATGTAAAAACAGCTGGGACAACTGGGTGTAGATAACTACCATTTCCGGAAAGTAAGAAGAGAAGCTAAAAGTATAATAACGAAAACCAAATTGCAATGCTTGTTAGAAATATATTATCATATTTGTAGGAGTAGATTATTTTGCTAAGATATTTTAATAAATCTAATGTATATTGTATATATATAAAATCTAAGATTGTTTCCTAAAATTTTGTTATCAATTCGATCCCCTCTGATACCACATTACAGATACACAAATTGTCACTTTAAATTCAGATATAAGATTTATGTAAGGATAAAAAGGTTCTCACTTGATAACCTGTAACAAAAGCATGTCGTTGCACATATTATACATATATATATAATTGTAATGCTATAGTAAATATGTATTACTGAGTTTTATATTATTAGCAGAAATTAAATCACGTATACAGATTTTAAAATATTTTAAATTAAAAATTTGTTAATACCAAAATTACGTCTCTCAACCAATCATCCAATTTCCAATCATCACAAACTCCCTCTCTCTCTCTTGTCATTTTGTTCCTAAATGTATCTGTTTAAATACAGCTTTTATGAATATTTCACGATAATAAAAGAGAATTCCGATTTCGGCAGTACGGTGATATAAGATTTATCAAGGGAAGAGTCTCGCTATTCGTTATCAGATAAAAAAAAGCTAAGGAAATCATGTCGCAATAATACCGACATCAGTTTTCTTTTGCACTTTTTAACAATTATCGTCTGACATGATTCAATAGTCTATCTCTAATTACAATGTCAGTAATTTTTATATATCTCATCTCTCAATTCTTCGTCAATGATTTACTACCCTTGTTGTCTAGGAAATGGCAATCTTTTTTAAAGCGTCAATCTTTTTTATCTTCCAATGTGATTCGCGAGTCATCGATCGTTTAAATTGCCAAGTACGTATTAGCAAATTATTAATAACAAGAAATGTGTGATCCATATAGAATATTGAGAAATTATATTTAATTTTCTTACTATCCTTTCTATAACGAGAAGATAAAATAAGATAAGATCAAATCGCGCTTTTTTAATAATGGTTATTAATTTATAAACATATGACAAATTATTGTTTTAAAATTTGCACAAGCAAGGTTTATATACCGTGTTCGAAACTATTTTGAAATAATTATAAATCTCTAATTAACTGTAAACTGTAGAACTGTATTGTCGTAATATCTCGGAAAAGGCTCAAGAAAATGCACAAACGAGATCTTAAACGTGAAATAAGCATGTGATGGATTAGATTTACAAATTAACACAAGAGGGAGGGGCGCTCTTCTTCTTTTCCAAAAGTATTAATATTTAATAAAAAGATAAAAAATAGGTCTGAAGATATTAGATATTATAAAATTATAAAGTCAAGTGCGCCAAGAGTGCGTCATCAAATAAAACTCTTGTAATAGAGAGAGTAGTAAACAAGATATGATTTGAGGACACGATCGTGATTCGATCAACGATAAGTTATTTTTTCGATAATTCGAGGACTTGTGAAAGTCAAACAAGGCACATAAGAGCCGTCATGTTCGGAACAAGAGATATATATGAAGACTAAAAACATATAGAGATATATATGAAGACTAAATACGTCTTTAGTTTTAATGAACTGCACTGTTTTATCGAGAATCTTATAAGTTTGTTTGCTATTAATTAAAATCTACTGTGCCAATTAATATGCATTTTGTAGTATAAGTTAATGTCGGAATGTTTGTTTTTTTTTTTTCAAAACGCGCGTTTCAGTTTTTCTAAATATTAAATAAAAAATTCCATGTGAGAGAAAAATATGAACAGTTAAGATATACAAGATTTTGAATATGCGAATATGGAAGAAGAGAAAGAAATTTTTAAAAGTAGTAAAATGTTGAATTATGTTATACTCTCACTATATATAAACTGTCGTTATCGGAACATAAAATATTCCATCGTATAAAATGTCATTTTGATAAAATAGGGAGGAAATAAGACCGAAAGATGGTGTGGGAAACAAGATAAAACTTCGATACAATAAAAAACCATTAAGGATCTCGCCATTATTTGATTATAGATCTCGTTATTAGATAAATACAGATAAAGGCTTATATCTAAAATCTAAAGCATACTCATATATGTTTGATTGGCGTAAAATAAATGAATTGAAGATATATTCATCAATTATCTTTCTTAGTTAATTGTATTTTGATTATTTTATTCTGTATTGGTTGTAAATCTGGTTCAACCTAGGAAGGATAATATGTTTCATATTGTTTGTAAGTTTAAAATATATTCAGTATCTAATATACATGCATACAAAAAATATCCATCAATTATATATCTCGTCTATTAGTTTTATTTTTTTATCAATTTTTCTGGTTGATATATTTAAGAAAGATATATTTTATATATAGCTTAGATTTCTCTTCCACTCTTTTATATTAACGAGAAATATAAATGTGTTTGATGTGGATATATAATAGAATCCTTTTTTTAATTGCGTGAAAAAAGGTGTGATTAATATAAAATGATAGCAAAGGGCGAAATCTTACTGTTAGAATGAGAGAGAGATACCGCACAACCAACTATCTCTGTCACTTCTTCTTTCACTTGATTGACCAATCAGAATAAAGAGATCTTCGCACTGATTGGTCGACGCTTTGTAAATGCTGAAAACGATATAATATTGGTCGCAACTTCCGATCTCACATAGTCACGATGCACGAATATCTAGACACGCGAACGCCGTTTGATTATTTATGCATCGAATCGGAAGATTATTATAACGTCAAATGTCCTCGTGTGTGTAGATTGAATTATGAGAGGCGAAATATAAGATTTTTTTCTTTATTCTTTGTAAAATCCAACTTATGTCGAATAGGAAAAGAGGCAAGAGCGCAATGTTTTCTTTCTTTGGACTAGATACACAACATATATATACGCAACATCAGCGCCATTTTGGAAAATTACTCTTTTCAAACGGCAAGTGTCAAATGTCGATACTCGTCGCGTGCCGTCGCGCGCGCCGATCGTTTTGAATTTGTTATTTTTCTCCGTGAGATATATCACTATTTAAGGCATTATCGGTTAGCGAACGAAAAAAAAATATCACGTTTCGCGATATTCTCGATTTTCGTTACTCTCGCAGAAAAATATCGCGCGATTCGTGAGTGAGAAAGAGAGAGTGAGAAAGAGAGAGAGAGAGAGAGAGAGAGAGAGAGAGAGAGTGAGCAAGCGGATGTGAGAGGAGGCCGGTGGTGTAACGGCTCGGCGGCGATCACGCATACCACGTTTCTCCTTAGCCTCCGAGTGTTGAAATAACTAATCGACAAAACGGCTGCGGGAAAAAAGTCGGCCAAGAAGATGGCGGATTCCGAGGAACTGGAGGTGAGTGAGTGCGCGTTATAAACTAACGGGCGGAACGAATGTCGCGCAGCATCATCGTCGCGCGAATCCATCGGATCGCGTCGCCTATTGTCACGTTCATTTCCGGGTCGAATCTCGCACGCACGGGCGAACGATTTTCACGTGGCGAGACGACGAGACGCGTACGTACGTAAACGTAAGGTAGGACCGCGCGCGATATCCCCTGCCTTGTTTAAGTTAATCGTCGCCGATCGACTCGATGATACGCGCATCCCCGTCAACGCGTTGCAGGGGGTTCGGCCTTTATTTCGTTGGCGCGCTTCTGTTTACCCGCGTTATCGCACAGTTTGGCTAACTACACGGCTACGCGGTGCGGGATTATTACACGGCGCATCATGCTGGATCAACCGTTCGGAGCGGACGAATATTATTGGTAAATTACAGTGTCGGACTACCCCTCCCCCACAGATCGCACGATGAGAATGTGAGCGATCACTGGCTCCGACGGTGCACGGCTTTCTCGTTCGTGAAACTCTACATGGGTAACCTCACACTTTATCGTCTTGCTACAAAACTCCGTTGTTATTGTTCCTCCCGACGTTGCGCTCCCGCAATCGATGCATCGGCGGATTGAACAGATTGTCAATTTTTGGGAATTTTATTTCGCATCGTGACGGCCCGCAGTTATCAAAATATCACGTGTTGCCATGTCATCCATGTGACACTGGCAGGTGGCTTTGTATATATTAAAGTAAATCGAATGTTGCAATGGGATTGTCTCTCTATGCGATTGGGGTTCTTTTTTTAAATAGAAGAAAATAATTCGCAATCTCACACTGCCAGAACCTTTGTTAGAGAAACACTATGCTTTGATAGATAGTAATATTTTTATACATACAATGTAGTTTTTTTTATTCATTATCGAGAAAGGTTACCATTGATGGAATATACAGCAATGGAATGTTTTCATTACAGAATATGGTATTAAGTTTTCGAGTGTCTGAGCTTCAGATGCTTCTTGGTTTTGCTGGTAGAAATAAATCTGGCAGGAAGAACGAGTTACAAGGGCGTGCGTTGGAATTATTACGCTTGAGATCGTATCCAGCTATCCGGTTAAAGATACGTGAATTGTATAAGACAATACAGTAAGTTGAAGTTTAAATATCTAAAATATCTGAATGAAACTATAGAAAATGTCGGATTAGTTTTCAAATTATGTAAATAATTATGATCACTTGAAAAGTTTTTAAAAAATTTGCACAATAAGTAAAACAAGAAAAAATTGATTGCTACATTGGAAGGGCACACTTTTATAAAACTCATTTTTGTTTCCTGAAAATTACCTGTAAATCTGAATAGAAATATTTTCCTTAGAGCAGATCAAATGCAAGCCCATCAAATGTACGGCCAAACTGGTAATTCCTCTGAGTCACAAATTGACCAAAATATGCATAATAGAAATTATTATACAAGGTAAATATATAACTTTTTATAAATGCATATTTAATATATATGTGCTTAAAAATAGTAATATTTATGTAAAACAAAAATATATATATTTCAAGACAAGCGATTAGTCAGCAACAGCAGCAACAATCACCTGTTTCCGCTGGGAAGGAGCTGCCTCCAGCGCATCAAGCATCTATGCCTCAGGCTCCTAGGACCAATCCAGTATACCCAACAGCTGGTTATACTAGCGTAGCACCACAAGTAAGTAAAAACATATGTTTAAGACGCATGAAAAATTAACCCTCGTAGGTCAAACATTTTTCTTGCTTTTAGTCACATGTGGGTCACATGTGGGTCATAATGTCGCAGTTTTAGCTGTCACAGAGTGCTTGAAAAAATCTACAAAAATTTATTATATTTCTTGACATCTATAGAAAATGATCATATAAAACACACAAGTTAAAAAATAAATTTTAAATATTTTTTTTATTAATTAAGGTCTTCGAGATATTCTATTGCTAATATCGATAGAGTCAAAATGAACCATATATGATTTTTAATGGTTAAACAGATATTTTTATTTGTAACTGCTGTCAATCGTTTGTTGGTGAAAAATGGGGAAAGTATGTATTTTACCAAAGTTAGATCGGTTATTCCCTTATTTCTCGATAACTATGACAGTTTGATATCAACTTTTGCTCATTTCTTATTAATCAAACTTAGTTTAGAATATATAATTATTATTAATTATTTCGTTTAAAAAGCGGAAAAACAATATTTTTTATCTATACGTTTTCTCCTTGGGTGCTGAGTGAATCTAACAAGGGGAGGGCGCGACGTTGGGGTCACCGAATTTAAAAAGGTTTTTATATAGTGTAGTACTTTACCAGAAAAGTAGCAAATTGATTCACCAATGAAATTTGAGATTTGTTATAAACTGTATAAGGAATTTTAATAACATAGTTGGACTTATAAGCATTTTGAAGTAGTGGACAGTATAATAGATTAGACATAATTTTTGTATGTCACGTATGTGTTATTGTGTTGGAAGTGTTATAATTAAGTTAACGTGTTAAAAAAAAGTGTGTTAAAATTACATGTATATATCTTAAGAAGATATGATGTTTTTAAACAGGTGAGTCTCTCTCTTTCTCTTTCACTATATTATATTATTATATTATTATTTATTTAATAATTATTTATACATAATGACAAAATTCAAAATTATATAAGCAAATTATATATAAATATTATGTTCATACATATTTCCCTTTTTCTTATATATATTTTCTATTTATGTGTAAGAAGCAAAAGAGAATATATATATGGACATAATATTCTGTATATATATAATTATATTATTTATTTAATAACACAAAATTATACATACATATTTTTATACTTGGAAGAATACAAGATATATTGGAGTTACATGATAAAATGTAAGTATATAATGATTTATTACTCTCTATTATTACGTAATACATTATGTATTATATATATGTTACATCTTAATAATAATTATCTTGATAATAATTAAAATTTGTATACTTGTGTAGAAAGATGAAGAAACATGAGGACTATTAGAAGAATGGCATGGTTGTGTCATATATATATCTGTTACATCTTTATCTTGATAATAATTAAAATTTGTATACTTGTGTAGAAAGATGAAGAAACATGAGGACTATTAGAAGAATGGCATGGTTGGCATGGTTG